AGTAGGTATGATCCAGGGTGCGTGGTCCATTGAAGAAGACAGTTTTGGCGCAAACGAGTGGTGGGAGGGAAAAAACAATGAGCTCCTTGCCGCCAATGAGAGTGAGCGAGTCAAGAGAGAGAGAGCTGGCGCTCTTGCAGTTGATTTCCAGCTCCTCTGCTTTGACTGACAGAGCATTTAGAGTGGGAGGGAGGGAGAATTCAATGACAAGCATTTGATGCTCGAAACTGATTGATATAACTCGAGCAACCGAGAATTCGAGATTGAGGCTGCAAAAGCGACGGCTGCAGGAGGAGAGAGAGAACTCGTGCAGGTGCGGTGAGATGGAAGACAGGAAATTAAGGTCATGGTCGTTACAGTCCACATGCTCTATGGTCAGACTCCTTAGCGCTCTGAACCATGCCGCATCCATTCTGCTTAGCTGCCACCTTCCACGACCTAGCTTCAGCCGCTGCAGCTGCCCAAACTGCTTCAAACATGCCGGATCGATCAACTGGTATTGGATGGATCGATAGCGGTAGAAAAAATCCTTGAGCACGAGGCAAAGGCTTGTGAGGGATTGAGCAGAGGATGCCACAAGCCGGCTGAGGCTCTGCATGTCCGTTAAGCTGCTGGGAACGAGGTGAAGGGACTTGTGACCTGACTGTTTGAGGAACCAGGAGAGCATTTCTGTCCACTGGGGTTCGTGGGGGTTGTACACGAGGGAGATGGGCTCCAACTCCTGCACCCACACAGAGACATAACTTGTCTTCTTCAGCAATTCAGCACTCAAAGCAGAACTTCCCATGCTGTGAGCTGACATGCTGTGAGCTGACATGCTGTGAGCTGACACGCTGTGAGCTGACATTATTATACAACAGTTTGTGCAAATGAATGCAGAAGTGGCAGAGCGACTCACGGAGAAGGAGATGACATGGTGGAGGAGCCTCTTGCTGGCCATGGCGCAGCGCAGCAGAGGCCAGGAGGAGCCGAAACGCCTCGTGTTCTCCTCATGCTGCTCCCTGGCAGAAAGCGGCCTTGGAGAGGCAGAGGAAGCAATGCTTGCGTCCAGCTGTAGTTCATCAAATGAGTCGACCCGCTGCTGCGATTGAGCAGAATTGACCAGGTGCCACAAACTGGTGAGTGCTCCCCGTGATGATAATTCCGCTAAAGAGTCGCTCCGTTGCTGCGGCTGAGAAGAGCTGGCTGGCGGCAGCAGCAGGCAGCGGAAGATGATGTGCCAGACGGGGCCAGGCAGCACATCAACCACGTCCACGCCGCTCTGGTGGGTGGGTGGGTGGGGGAAGACGACTCAAACATGAGTGACGGAGAGTGTGTGTGTGAGTGCGTGTGTGTGTATGTGCGTGGGTATGTGTGTGTGTGTGTGTGTGTGTGAGTGTGAATGCGTGTGTGTGTGTGTGTGTGTGTGTGCGTGCGTGCGTGCATGTATGTGTGTGAGTGTGCGTGTGTGTGTGCGTGTGCATGTGTGTGTGTGTGTGTGCATGTGTGTGTGTGCATGTGTGTGGGGAGAGAGAAGCACTGGAAATGAGAGAGGAAGAGAGGGGGAGGGAGAGGACAAGGAAGGATGTGCGGGGATACCAGAGGATCAGATGCACTGTCCGCGGCAAAACACGCTCACCTGATGAGAATTCTCAGCATCAGAGGGTTCTGTGAGTTCAACAAGCACGCTCTTCAGCACCTTATTCCCATGGCTGGCCATGCGCGCGGCTAAAATTACGAACTCTTTCCTTTGCAGGCTAAAACGTATCGAAAGTGACCTGAGTGCGGCTGGTGTTGATTCTGCACACGGTAAATTGAAGACGCTGACCTGAGGATAGTCAAAGTCCGCTGGTCATCACACACTTGCCGCTCGCCGACATCGTGAAACCCTACCCTCCCAGGTCAGCCACGAGGAGATCCGCTTGTCGTCGCGATGGCGGTAGCGCGACACGAGTTGTGTCCCGCAGTGTGCCTGAGCGAGTCCCGTTCAGAATGAAACGGAGGACAAAGAAGAAAGAACCGCGATAAGCGTGTCGCTGCAAGTATGGCTCCCATAGCTGGCGGTGGGTTCTCAGGCTTCGAATGGCTGACCAGTGGCAGCAGCAGCTGTCTCACTTGAACAGACGCTTCCTCTGCAGTTTTGGGGATCCTCGGAAAAATGATTCTAAGCAGCAGCGGCAACTGACTCAGGCCTCGGTCATGCAACGTGTAATGAGTCGTCATGCAACCTGGGTGATCCCACTCACATGTCGCTCGACTCTCGAGGTTGCCCAGGAGCAAAGCTTCACGCGCCTCGCTAAACTCGAAAGACTAGCCTATAGGCTCTAGGTACCTTCGCGTAGTTTTCGTAGGAGTTTGCCTATACCCGTTTGAAGGTATCTCAATCGGCGCCAATCCACCCATCTAAGTCGTTGAAATTGTGTAACGCAGCTTGATGCTGTCATTCAATCGAGCAGCTTCGACGTTTGGCGAATCACGTAACAGCACAGCTTTCTTATCGCACGCCTCACTGTTCTAAAAAAATCTGATTCGTCGGAAGCAATGGCTGGCAGAAAACAAAACCTCATCAACATCATCCGTGAGTCTGACACCATCATCCAACGGTCAGAATTGTTCAGCTTTCTTGTTAGTTACCGTTGAACTCCCTTGATAGCGTGGGCTGTGAATGCTGCGGTCAAGCCGTCAGACACAGAACTCTCTTCATTGCGAGCAGTTTCAAGAGACTCTTTTCTTTGTGCAACAACAGGCTGGCCGAAACCGGCTGTGTGACTAGCTAGGGTTGCGACAAGTACGCTAAAACTTAATAATTGCGAGTGCGAATGCATGAAGTTGAGCTGATGCTCTCCAAAAAATCTATATATCTATCACTGCAGACGGATTAGGTGCACTATGACAGCTCTCATTGGTGCAGAGAACTAGTTTGATCGCCATGACATCAGTGCAGAGTACTGAAGAGTCTACGACGGAGGAGCGCGAGCGATGGCAGGGGAAGAGAACGAAAAACAAAGGTGACCCTGAAGGCAAGAGATATTATTCTTCTCGACGCAGACAGCTATTCCTACCTCATTGCTTTCACACTCTGAACGCAAAGCACCTGGACTTCTCCTCCTGCTCATACAAACCTCCTAGACATTTCTTTCGAGCTATACACGCAGTGCAAGCGCTGTTGACTCCGTAGCTTCCGCTGTCATTCTAAGTTTGTTCCGGTTGCTATCCCATCCTGACATTTCTACTTTACGGTGCGCCGCTTTGTGCATCGCTTCCTCTCTCTCGTCTCTGTCGCTCAGAATCGACTCAAAAGCGGTTGAGTCGGCTCAAAAGTGGTTGAGTCGCCCTATGCTAAAACAACTCGTCTCCAAAAAACCTGGAAATACCCGATATCAAACGTGCTCTCACCTTTTTTAAGCACCACCGCGGAGAAGGCGAGGGTGCTCCCCCCACCAAGCTCCTTCCCAGGGTCGACTTCACTGGCAGCCGCAGCTCCTTAGCCACACACGCGAGTGGAGCTGCATGTGGAGGTCACACTCTGTGTGTTTTGAGCTCAGCACAGCAAGGAGCAGAATGAAACGAGTTACTCATTAGATTCCGCCGTCCTCCAATCTTTCTTCCATTTTATCATCTTCTCTCCATTCCCCCCGTGCCATCCATCTCATCAACTCGCTGCAGGAGTCTGGCATCCCCCATTTCCCCTTACTCCTCAACCCATCCCTCATCTTCCCCACTCATCCATTTCATCCTCCAATCGCCACCCACCGGCGTGATCCCTTGAACACACTGCCGGTGTCTCACATTCCTCCACTCCCACCAGCAATCCTCTTCTCACACCCATCCTCCCCCATCTCACCCATCTCACCCATCTCACCCATCCTCCCCCATCTCACCCATCTCACCCATCTCACCCATCTCACCCATCTCACCCATCCTCACCCATCTCACCCATCTCACCCATCTCACCCATCTCACCCATCTCACCCATCTCACCCATCTCACCCATCTCACCCATCTCACCCATCTCACCCATCTCACCCATCTCACCCATCTCACCCATCTCACCCATCTCACCCATCCTCCCCCATCTCACCCATCTCACCCATCTCACCCATCTCACCCATCTCACCCATCTCACCCATCTCACCCATCTCACCCATCTCACCCATCTCACCCATCTCACCCATCTCACCCATCTCACCCATCTCACCCATCTCACCCATCTCACCCATCTCACCCATCTCACCCATCTCACCCATCTCACCCATCCTCCCCCATCTCACCCATCTCACCCATCTCACCCATCTCACCCATCTCACCCATCTCACCCATCTCACCCATCTCACCCATCTCACCCATCTCACCCATCTCACCCATCTCACCCATCCTCACCCATCTCACCCATCTCACCCATCTCACCCATCTCACCCATCCTCACCCATCCTCACCCATCCTCACCCATCTCACCCATCCCGCCATATCACTCCTTGCCACCCCCCGTCATCCCACAGGTCTCCTTCCGGCGTCTGACTTTCCCCTTTCACAGCCCCCATGAATCCCCTTCCCACCCACCTCACCCATCTCTCTTTCCAGCCGCCACCCCCCGTGATCCCATGGACCTGCTACCGGCGTCTCTCTGGCACCGGGTGTTCCGCTGCCTGCTGCTGCCGCCCGACTCACCCATCTCACCCATCCCATCCATCCCACCCTTCCCACCCATCCTCACCCATCTCTCCTTCCACCCGCAGCCCCCCGTGATCCCATCGACCTGCTACCGGCGCCTCTCTGGCACCGGGTGTTCCGCTGCCTGCTGCAGCCGCCCAACTCACTCATCCCACCCATCCCACCCATCCCACCCATCCCACCCATCCCACCCATCCCACCCATCCCACCCATCCCTCCCACCCATTCCACCCATCCCACCCATCCCACTCATCCCACCCATCCCACCCATCCCACTCATCCCACCAATCCCACCCATCCCACCCATCCCACCCATCCTACCAGCAGCCACCCCCCGTGATCCCATGGACATGCTACCGGCGTCTCTCTGGCACCGGGTGTTCCGCTGCCTGCTGCTGCCGCCCGGCTCCTCCCACCCCGACACCCCCATTGTCCGCGGCAGGCGCAAGTCTCCCTGGTATCTCACCGCCACCATGCAGCCCCCAGCGGGCAGAAACCTACCCGTGAAATTCGTGGACCCCGACTTTTCAGCTGTCGGGCAGCACCGGAAGAATGTGAAAACCTATGGCAGTGGGTGGGCGCTGCTGTGCTGCTCCCTGGCCAGCAAGAGGTTCCGCAACCTTGTCCTCTCATTCTCTGTGAGTGCCGTTCTCCGTTGCACTTGGCATCTCATGTGCTTCTTTTGATGTGCTTCATTGGATGTGCCTTCTTTTGATGTGCTTTTTTTGATGTGCTTCTTTTGATGTGCTTCTTTTGATGTGCTTCTTTTGATGTGCTTCTTTTGATGTGCTTCTTTTGATGTGCTTCTTTTGATGTGCTTCTTTTGATGTGCTTCTTTTGATGTGCTTCTTTTGATGTGCTTCTTTTGATGTGCTTCTTTTGATGTGCTTCTTTTGATGTGCTTCTTTTGATGTGCTTCTTTTGATGTGCTTCTTTTGATGTGCTTCTTTTGATGTGCTTCTTTTGATGTGCTTCTTCTGATCTGCTTCTTTTGATGTGCTTCTTCTGATGTGCTTCTTTTGATGTGCTTCTTTTGATGTGCTTCTTTTGATGTGCTTCTTTTGATGTGCTTCTTTTGATGTGCTTCTTTTGATGTGCTTCTTTTGATGTGCTCCTGTTGATGTGCTTCTTTTGATGTGCTTCCCAACAGCCCTTGCTGTGAGTGTTGTGCTCGTGGCATTGCAGCAACTGCCACATCTCCCAGGCACATAGCTTTCATATTCTCTCCTGCATCTATCTCATCCCTTTCTGCACGCCTACCACCCCAACTCTCTCGTCTACAGCGACCTGCACTTGCAGTGCAGTGGGCTCAGAGATGCTGCAGGGTATTTTTGAGAATTCTTAAGATGCTGCAGGGTATTTTTGAGAATTCTCAAGGTGCTGCAGGGTATTTTTGAGAATTCTCAAGATGCTGCAGGGTATTTTTGAGAATTCTCAAAATGCTGCAGGGTATTTCTAAGAATTCTAAAAAATCCCCTGCACTCTCTGGTCTACAGCTACCTTCACTTGCTGTGCAGTGGGCTCAGTGCGTCACGCTCTTTGCATCGTGTTTCAAATCTGAAATTGCTGAATTTCTTCGATTTCAATGTTTATAAACGTAACGTCCTTAAACGTCCTTGCGGTGCCTCCATTCCTTCTCCCATCCATCTCTGCAGGCCCAGCACCCCATCTCCTTGGTCTACATCAACCTGCACCCCCAGTGGGCGAGGAGCGTTGCTCTCCAATCTGAACTTCTTAGCGCCTCATTCCCATCCCGTTCCCACCCATCCATCTCTGCAGGCCCAGTACCCCATCTCCTTGGTCTACAACAACCTGTACCCGCAGTGGGAGAGGAGCGTTGCTCTCCAATCTGAACTTCTTAGCGCCTCCATTCGCATCCCATGCCCACCCATTTCTCTCCTCTCCACAGGCCCAGCACCCCATCGCCTTGGTCTACAACAACCTGTACCCGCAGTGGGAGAGCTGTGTCGGCCTCTCTAGGACATGCTTCACACTCTCTCCTCCATCTTGTTCCTCTCCGCAGGCCCAGCACCCCATCGCCTTGGTCTACAACAACCTGCACCCGCAGTGGGAGAGGAGCGTCGCTTTCGTCCTGCGCCAGCGCGGCCTCAGGTCCCTCGACCTCACCTTCACGCACGTCCTGCAGCTCGACACCATCGTTTTCCAGGACGAGTGGGCCTTCGCCTCCCTCACCTACTACTGGTCGCACTACTACGGCTGCCCACGTCTGCAGCGGCTGAAGCTGGGGCGCGGCAAGTGGGTTCTCTCAGACGGGTGGGCCGGGAAGCTCAAGGCCCTGCGCAGCTTGACTCTCAAGCACGTGGACTGGAGTCACGTGGATGTCAAGTATCTCGCCACGCTCACACCACAGCTCACAGAATTCACGCTTTATGAGGGCTGGGATTTGGATAACCCGTCCGTCGGCCCTCGTGGCAGCGGCAGCAACCGATTCTGTTTCGATCTCTCATCGGCTCGCGTCCTCCGATTCTACTTCGCACAGAGCAGCCTCACGCTCTTCCTCACCCTCTCCCGCTCGCTCAAGGCCTTCTCAGCCGTGGCCAAACGCCTCGTCCTCTCCTGCAAGAGCGTCGTTCCTCTCTATCTCGACCACCTCTCACTCTACGGCCAGGAGCGCCTCGTCATCTCCTCCCTTCGCCTCGCATCGGCCCGTGTGGCCTACCTCAACGGCCCTCCCATCGACAGGCACTCCCGCGATGATGCCCACTACTTTCCCTCTTGGGACACCACTGCGCCGCCCCCTGACTGGCATAGCTCGCACCGCTGCAGCTCCTCTGAATTCTCCTGGGTTGAATGGCTGGGCGCTATAGCGCGGACAGTGGAGGTGCTTATAGTGAGGCATGGGGTGCGTGTAGAGCAGGTGGGTGCCGAGTGGGGCTGCCTGCGCAGCCTTGGGATTGTCGTGGAGAGTGAGGAGCGGTTTGGGAGAGATCTGGATTTTGAGAGGCGGCGGGATGATGGCGAGGAGGAGGTTACAGTGGAAGAGATTCACGAGCACAACCAGAGGCAGAGGCTGTTGCAGCAGCTGCAACGTCCGCAGCAGCGGTGGCGGCAGGAGGAGCAGGAGGAGGAAGAGGAAGAGGAGCAAGCAGGAAAGCTCCCTCTTATCAAGGCTCCGAACTTGCGAGCGATATTCTTCCCCACCCGCACATGCGAGCACACCCTTGCTTCCCTACATGAATCCTGCCCCTCCCTCGCCCTGTACTGCATCGCAAGTCGTTCTTTCTACTGGGAGAAGCAGGGGAAGGAGTTGACTGAGGCCCCTGTGGTGCATGTGAGGAAGGGGAGGAGCGGCGTGTCGAGCAACTGCTTTGGGGAGAGACAGGCGAAGAATGTGAGGGAGAAGATGCACAGTGTGAATCGGGAGCTAGTTGAAGGGTACAGTGTTGATAAAGATGAGGCTTATATGCTCAAGTACAAAGGGAGCCTCTGGGGGACTGACTGCTGTTATAGCCTGTAGCGTTCATTTATTGGTGTGGACAAGGTACGGGTCGACTCAAAACTCGTTGATACAGATGAGGATTACATGTTGAAGTACAAAGGGAGCGTCAGGAGGACATATGGTACTGTATTACAGACTCTAGCATCCGCTCATTTTTGACACGCCATCTCAACTAATATCATATGGGATAGTGAGTGGGTGTGGGATCGCAACTATCCCACCATATATCCACCTTCTCTGCCAAATATTAAGTGTTCATGCCCCGACCAACCTCCCCCTCTCCCATCCCTCCACCCCCCTCCCTGCCCAAATACTAAGTGTTTCCCCTTGGATCTTCTGCTTCTCTATGCTTATTTGTAAGCTTCCATAGCTGCAGCAGCAGCATAACACCACCATCACCAACAGCAGCAGCAGCAGCAGCAGCACAACACCACTATTACAACCAGCAGCAGCAGCAGCATGGCTGCTCTGACAACCCGTTGCGAATGCAGTTTCCAGTCTCCACCCTTAGCATGAATCTGAACTGAATTTCACATGGCGTCCATATTGAATGTGCTTGTGTTGCAAACATGTAGACAGATACGCCAACAATATTCTCGAATGGTTGGTCCGTTCATGTAGACGGATTTTGCAGAGGCCAATGGGAGCAAAGTTACGAGAAGCTGCGAGCGGCCAATGAGAGAAAAGGAGCCGAGACAAGAGAGAGTCGGCTGCCGCATGTGCAATCCACGTTGAGAAATGCTGCAGTGGCAGATAAGGACTTCAAAGAGGCAGGGAGGGAGAAGCGGAGGTGGAGCGCATGTTTCTCACAGCAGACTGTGATATCTCCAGCAGCTGTGAGCTTGAACTCGAGGGTGGTAGAGCCGAAGCCACGGCTGGAGGAGGCGAGAGCGAGTTCATGCAGCTGCGGTGCGACGGATGAAAAAAAGGAGAGATCATTTCCGTCGCACTCGAAATCGTGGATTGAGGGCAATGCTGACCCTCCAAGGAGCAGGAGATTGCACTGAGGCCCGTGGTGCGGCGGCCGACCGTTGCATGCCAGGGTTAGCATTGCTTTCGTGGATCTCAGGGCAAGAGATATCTTCTCTGAAAGCACGAAGTGCCTCGGAGGGTTTAAAACAACCCTCATGGTTCAAATCAATCTTCCTGCCTGCACCATGCCCTGACCCATGGCATGGGGAAGATGAACTGACCCCATGCTATCGCCGTGACACGATGTGACGCCATGCTATCACCGTGACATGATGTGACGCCATGCTATCTCCGTGAAATTATGTGACTCCATGCTACCGCTATGACACAATCTGACCCCATGCTATCACCGTGCCGTGATACGATCTGACCGTTTGCTATCCCACTGACTCGCTGTGAACCCATACTAACCCGCCACGCCCGTCTGACCTGATTGCACCGCTCCTCTCCCACCCGCTCACATGAAAGGGAGACGAAGGATCAACAACGCTGTACGATAGCAGACAAGGGAACTGCCTGCGCAGAGAAGCCGGAATGCCTGGCTACCAGTCAGACGAGGCATAATAAATAGACTCCAGGTTCATAGCATTGATGAACAGGTTGCTGCTGCTGCTGCTGTTGCTGCAGCTGCTGCTGCTGCTCCCTTCTTCCCCAACAAAGCACCTCCAAAACCGAGAGTCCTCCGGATCCTCCGCCTGCTTCTGCGTTCCATCACATAACCTTCTCTGCTACAACACATCTCACCGCATGGCGAATTCTGCTCCTGGTACAGCTAAGCTCTCACCGCTTAGCTCCACTCTCACAGCTATGCTCCAATCTCCCATCTCTCTCTATCTGTGTTCAGGAGCTCGAGCCGTTCCCGCTTGTAGTGGACGCTCAGGAGCACCGGCTGGCAGCAGCGCTCTCCTTCTTCCTCAGGCACTCGGCTCACACGTCCCTTGATCTCCTTCTCAACACCTCCCAAGACCTGCTCTGCCTCCGCCGTCTCTTGCAACCCTCTGCGCGCTCCCTCACAAGCCTGTGCCTTGATGTGAGGGATTCCCCCGGTCCACCGCTGGATCCGGCCTTTCTCGGGGAGTTTCAGCAGCTGCAGCAGCTGGAGCTACGCCTTGGGAGTTGGCAGCTAAGCAACCTGGATCCAGCAAGGTTCCAGGCTTTAAGGATTCTGAAAATCCACCTTTTGGAGTCCAACAGAAGGGACCTGTCCTTTCTCTCATCCGTCGCACCACAGCTGCATGAATTGACTCTCTTCTCCTCCAGCATAGGCTCTACCACCCTCAATTTCGGATTCACCGTTGCTCAAGCGATCGCAATCTGCTTTGAGAGGCAAGCGGTCAGCCTTCGCCTCGCCCTCCCTCCTTCTTTGAAGTCCTTTTCTGCCTCCGCGCATTCTCTTAACGTCGAGTGCACCTGCAACAGCCCCCTCTCGCTTGACTCGTTCTCCCTGACTGCCCGCGTAGAGCTCAACATTTTGTCGCTCCCTTTGGCTTCCGCCAAATCCGTCTACTTGAACGCTCAACCCACCCAAAATCTCGACTCTCAGCTTGCCTTGACCCGGCTGCTCAGCAGCGTAGCGTCGACAGTGGAGAAGCTTATCGTGAAGCATGACTGGCCTCTGCAGAACGTACACGTGGAGTGGAGCTGCCTGCGCCGGCTTGCCATTGGTGTGAACCGATTCAGCACTGAGGGGTTTGGTTACACAGCACAAATGGACAGCGCGCACGATTCTCATTTCTTGAAATGCTTCGGTGGGGAAGAAGAGAGCAGCGGGAGCGGCAGCAGCAGCAGCGGCGGCGGCGGCGGCAGCGGTGGTGGCAGCAGCAGCACTTTTATCAATGCTCCGAGCCTGAAGGCTATTTTCGTTGCCACTTACAAGTGCCATCCCAGCACTCTGACTTCTCTAAGTAGGCAGTTCCCTTCCCTTGCATCGTACAGCGTTATTAATCAGTCATACCGCTGGTAGGTGGAGGGAGAGGAGTGGTGCAATCTGGTCACATCTCGTGTCACGGCAATAGCAGGGCATCAGATCACGCTCTTCCCCATGCCATGGGTCAGATCACGCTCTTCCCCATGCCATGGGTCAGGGCATGGTGCAGGCAGGATGGTTGCAATGAAGCCATGAGTGTTTCTTTGAACCATCTGAGGATTTTCATGCTTTGAAGGAAGAAAGGGAGCAGGGTGGGTGCGACGGTGAGTGTTGGAACCGAGGTTAACAGGGGTGATGTGTGAGGGAGGTGTGTGCAGGGACGAGCAGGAAGGGTGCTGTGCCTTAAAAGAGTGGTGGTAATGGTGTGACAGTAGGGGTGGTGTGGTGTGCGCCTGTGTGGTGTATGCTAAACCCACGGCGATGGGATGGTGGTGTGTGCTAGCAGTGGGGATGGCAATGGTGGGCATACGTGGTACTGCTGCTCTGCTGCTCTGCTGTCAGCTGAGCACAGTAAAACAGGGGAGTCTGTGTGTGAAGGCTGATAGTTATGTACAGTAATGATGTTTGTCTGCATAATTCTTATTGATGCTTACTAATGATGTTGTGTTTTGCTTGTAATGCTTATTGTCATCCCTCCCTGTGCTTCGCACGCACTTCTTACTCAAACTTGGTCGCCCGTGCATTCAATGCTTTTGGCATCATCCAGCTGTCCGGAGAGCTCAGCTCACCCACCCATACATGACTACACGTGCATAAGAAACAAGAGCATGCGTAACCACTGGAACGTGTGACTCAGTTTACACAGGGGTTGTCTGTACTGTACTGTACACAACGGGTTGAAAGGCAGCAGTAGGATGGGTCGTGCCAGCAAAGAGACGACTGTACTGCACACCAGCGGAACACAAACTCGCTAACCTCAGCACAGGCACAGTCACAGGCTCATTCGTGGGGTAGCGGTAGGTGGGCCCGAAAAAAAAACGGTCCTACGGACCTACTGCTCTGAAACCATGTTAGAAACTAGAGACAGGAATGACTTGAATTGAAACAGAGTTGGGTACATATCCTAACCCTAACATTGGGTTGTACCCTTTATGGGCTACCCCACTACAGCCTACACAAGTATATAACATATACAGTTTGACACACCCCCATAGGCAAAGTGGGGGAGAACAAGGGGTCACAAGACCAGTCAAGAAACGCAAAACAAGCTCAGGGTGGATCACAACGTCACCACACAAACTGAGCACAAGCAAAGGGCCACAAGGCCAGTCCACATGCAGAGATATATATATATGCAAGAAGAGCAGTACAGTGATCAATACCTAGCAAGAGCAAGCATGCAGGTATAAATATAGAGCACAGTACACACAAAGGCTACAGCAAGTGTGGAAACGTAGGCACAAGGCCTACAAAGGTACAAAAGCGTTGATGATCACCAAACGGAAGTGCCTTGGTGAATATATCAGCAGTGTTGGCCCGAGTGGCCACGTGTGCAAGACGAAGCTGACCACGCTGCTGCAACTCTCGAGCCAGGAAATAATGCAGAGCGATGTGCTTCGTTCTGTGCTCCAGTCTGTGCTCCTCACGCAAGGCAATGGCAGCCTTGTTGTCGACGTACAGAACTGGAGGAGAACGAGGCCGCTCTCCTAGGTCGGTCAGCAGGTAGGTGAGCCAGCGTAACTCCTGAGCAGCCATGGCGGTGGCATAGATCTCAGCCTCACAACTGGAGCTGAGAACAGAAGACGAGCGAGTAGAACGCCAAGAAACAGAACCAGAGCCAAGGCTGAAAGTGTAACCCTGTGACGACCGCTGAGTAGCCTGGTCGTCAACCCAAGAAGCGTCTGAGTGCCCAGTGAGGACCACCTCTCTCCGCCCTCCAAGCACGAGCCCCATGCCCGATGTACTGCACAAGTAACGCAGTACCCTCTTCGCAGCATCCATGTGCACCTTTCGGTGCCGACCAGGAGCCACGTAGCGTGCCAGAAGGCCAAGAGGGTACGCGAGGTCAGGACGAGTGCAGGTCATCAGGTACATGAGGCAGCCCACTAACTCCGGGTAAGGACCACTCGGCTCTACGGACTCGTCCGAAGGTGGAGCTGAGAGCGAGTGACCTGTAGCCAGAGGAGTGGACTGTGGCGAGGACCAGGTGAAGCCGAAGCGCTGAAGGACCTGCTGCACCATGTGTGACTGAGTCAGAGTGATGGTGCGGCGTGCTCTGTCCCGGGTGATCTGCAAGCCAAGGTAACTGCGCAGCTCACCCAGGTCTGTGCACGTGTGTCTCTTCTGCAGCTCCGACTTCACCAGGGCGAGAGCCTCAGTGTCAGCAGTGGCAAAGACCAAGTCGTCGACGTACACGAGGATGTAGAACGGCGACAGTGAGGTGTCGGTGCGCAGAAACAGCGACGGGTCAGCAGTCGAAGGAGCAAACCCAAGAGCCGCAAGTGTAGTCCTCAGTGTGTCGTGCCACTCACGAGGCGCCTGGCGGAGACCGTAGACTGGCCGCCGGAGGCTCCACTGGGTACCAGGAGGGAACGACCCAGTGAAGCCAGGTGGGCGGCGCAGCCAGATCTCCTCGTGCAGGCTGCCCTGTAAGAAGGCTGTGTTGAAGTCCAGCGAGTGAAGCTCGTAGTCATGCTGAGCGGCAACGTGCAGCAACACCCGAAGAGTGGTCATCTTCGGGGTGGGGGAGAAGGTCTGGAAGAAGTCGACTCCCTCTCGCTGATTGAAGCCTCGAGCAACGTAACGAGCCTTGAAGACAGGCGGAGAACCCGGCGGCCGCTTCACCCTGAAAATCCACATGCCATCGACGATGTTCGCCCCGGGAGGGGGAACCTCATCGACGTAAGTGCCTGTGGACTTCCACGATGCCATCTCTGCGTCCATGGCTGTCTGCCACTGAGAGGAGTACTCACCCGCGATCGCCTCAGCGTAAGAGCGCGGGGTCGGGATGTCTACAGCATCCGGGTCTCCCTCAGGGGCAAGCAGCATGGCCACGAGATGAGGCGCAGCGGCTGCAAGACACTCAAGGTCCTCGTGCCTGTCCTCAAGGACGTCCGTGCCAAGAGCACACTCACCCCAGACGGACGGAGGACAGACAGACTCAGACTCAGCAACAAGACTAGCGGCGTAGTCTAGACGACAGGCAGCAGCAAAGTCAACAAGCTCAGCGACCAGGGCAGACGCAGCAGCAGACTCAAACGACGGGTCAGTGACAACAGTGGCTAGCAGACGCGTGACAGTAGGGTGCTCAGCACGAAACCGGTCAGACTCAGGGTCCACGACGTCAGGCAAAGAGGACGCAGGGGGAGACGGAAGAGGAGTACGCTCCGGAGTAGGGGACCGACGCAGGGCTACAAGGCGTGTGCCGGGGACAGCCGGCTGACGCTGACGAGGAACACGACGACCGGTACGACCAGGACGAACAGGCAAGACAGGACGCGACGCAGGCTCACGACGCTCAGCAAGACCCCCTGCCTGCTCAGTGTAAGGAGAAGGAGCAGGCAACGGGGAGTCAGGCTGTAACGGAAGACCAGTAGACGAAGGGAGACTAAGAACCTGGCGAAGCACAGAGTCAGGCGGTGGCTGAGACGACGGAGACGGTGGAGCAAAGAACAGGCGCGGCTGGGCAACGCCACCAGCACCAGCAGCTCCAGCACCCCCAGCAGCTCCAGCACCTCCAGCAGCTCCAGCACCTCCAGCAGCCCCAGTAGAAAACCTCAGCACCAGCTCCTCCAGGACCAGCTCCACCAGCAGCAGCACCCCCAGAACGAGCGACCTCCATGACTAAGCCAATGCGGCGCTCAGCAACCCCATTCTGCTGTGGAGAGGCCGGAAGCGTGAACGTCTGGATGATGCCGTGCTCCGCGCAGAAGGCTGCCAAGAGGTCTGAGGAGAACTCACCACCTCTGTCAGAGTGTAGACGCAGGACGGGAAACTCCGTCCCGAACCGCTCGCGGAGCTGGAGACGGGCAGCGCGGATCCAAGGGATCAAAACATCAGGGACCTCCCCCTTGCTGCGCAAGGGGAAGACCGTGGTGTAGCGCGTGTAGTCGTCGACAACCAACAGGAAGTACCGCTCGTGGCCCTGTCCACGGACGCGGGCTGGGCCCCACACGTCCAGGTGGAGAGTCTGCAGGGGAGCCTCTGTGGGAGGGAACGAGGAGGAGTGAGGAGCGGCGCGCTGCCGCCCCTCGACGCAAGAAATGCAGGGCGGCACAAGCGAGGGAGGGAGGGCAGGCAAAGATCGGGGAAGACCAGAAACCAGGAAGTGAGAGTGCATGCCATGAAGGCGCTGCACCGAGGGGTGACCAAGGCGGTGGTGCCACAGGAGGGTCTGGTGCGACAAAGCGCGACACTCGCAGGGGGCCGCTAGCTGACCTGACGCAGACGCAGACGCAGCTACCTGAGGGGACTCAGTGGTCAGGGTGTACAGACTCGAGCCAGGCGCACGGGAAAACGTGGCCAGGTGTCGGCCCGTCCGAGCACACGTACAGTGAGTCACTCGCTGACTCGCAGGAGTGAACTGGTGAACCCCTCCATCCTGGAGGTCAGCTCCACTCACCAAGTTTGTAGAGAACGAGGGGAGGTAAAGACCTGACAGGGAGCCAGACGGGGCGGCCGGACACGGCAGAACCGTGGAGTAGTGGGCAAGGACTGGACCCCCAGAGGGGTCCGTCAAGGAGACTGGAACCGGCCGACTAAGCGGCGTGAGTGTGGTGCAGTCACGAAAGAAGGAGCGGGAAGCTCCTGAGTCAAGGGTGAAGGTGTGCAAGACCGCAGCAGGCGCAGTACCAGAGAGAGCAGACTCACCAGCACCTGGAGCAGCAGCCTCACCAGCACCTAGAGTAGGAGACGCACGAGCACCTAGAGCAGCAGCCTCACCAGTACCGAGAGCAGCAGGCGCTATACCAGGGTCAGGCGGTACGCACAGGTAACAGGCACGGTCAACACTAGTAGGCAATGCATACATGGCAGTGAGAATAGCATCATAGTCAAGAGCAAAGATATCTACCCTCTGTCCAAGCAGCTCCAGCCAGGCGGGGAGCTCAGCCTCGTCGCCAAACACGGTACGCCAGGCATCGCTCAGACGGGCGAAGCAGCGGGACTGTGTGTGACTAAGCGTCCCGCAAGGCTGACCAGTCCTATCACCTGTGCGAATGACGTACGAGCAGCGAGCTGTACTCAAAGACCCCCGACTCTGAGCGTACCACTCATGGAGCTGCTGGGACGTAAGTGTCTCGCGTGGACGCCGCTGCAGCTGCAGCTGGCCACTGCCAGACGCTCCCAACTGACCAGCTCCAGGGCGACAGCTACGACGGCTACTGCGACAACCCCAGCTAGTATACCACTCACTAAGCTGCTGGGGCGTGAGAGACTCGCGGGAACGTCGCTGGAGCTGCATCTGGCCACCTGCTAATAGCAGTAGTAGTGGCGGCAGCTCGGGCAGGGCAGGCGCGGCAGGCAGGCAGGCAGGCCGGCAGGCAGGCAGGCAGGTAGGCCGGCAGGCAAGCAGGCAGACAGGTAGTCAGGCAGGCAGGCAGGTAGGCAGGTAAGCATGCCGGCAGGCAGACAGGCAGGCAGGCAGGCAGGCAGGCAGGTAGGCAGGCCGGCAGGCAGGCAGGCAGGCAGGCCGGCAGGCAGGCAGGCAGGTAGGCAGGCAGGCAGGCAGGCAGGCAGGCATGTGCTCACCAAAGGCTGGAAGGTCAGGCGCTCGTCGGGCGACGGCCGGGTAGGCACACGACGGCGGCGACGGCTGGGCCGCAACAGCGGCTGCAGAGTAGGGCCGCGGCAGCTGCAGGGCGGGGCCGCTTCAGCGGCAGTCGCAGGGTGGGGCCGCGTCAGCGGCAGGTCAAGGCCGCGACAGCTGCAGGGCGAGGCCGCATCAGCGGCAGGTCGGGGCCGTATCAGCGGCAGGTCGGGGCCGAGGCAGCTGCAGGGCTGGGCCGCGTCAGTGGCAGGTCGGGGCCGCTTCTGCGGCCGGGCGGGTCTGCGCGAGCGGTGCGCGGGGCAGCAGCAGGCCGCATGCGGGCTGCGCGGGCTCGGGGCGGGCTGCGGGAGGCAGCAGCGGGCTGCGCGCGTCTCGGAGCGGGCTGCGCGGGCTCGGCGCGGGCTGCGCGCGGCAGCAGCGGGCTGCGCGCGGCTCGGCGCGGGCTGTGCGGGCTCGGGTCGGGCTACGCGCGGGTGCAGCGGACTGCGCGCGACTAGGCACGGGCTGCACGGGCTCTTTGCGTGTTGTGCAGGGCGACGCGCGTGCAGGACAACAGTAATCAGGAGGCAGGAGGCGCGACAGTCACACGCACACTCACAGGCTCATTCGTGGGGTAGCGGTAGGTGGGCCCGAAAAAAAAACGGTCCTACGGACCTACTGCTCTGAAACCATGTTAGAAACTAGAGACAGGAATGACTTGAATTGAAACAGAGTTGGGTACATATCCTAACCCTAACATTGGGTTGTACCCTTTATGGGCTACCCCACTACAGCCTACAAAAGTATATAACATATACAGTTTGACAATGGTGGTGTGTGCTAGCAGTGGGGATGGCAATGGTGGGCATACGTGGTACTGCTGCTCTGCTGTCAGCTGAGCACACTAAAACAGGGAGTCTGTGTGTGAAGGCTGATAGTTTTGTACAGTAATGATGTTTGTCTGCATAATTCTTATTGATGCTTACTAATGATGTTGTGCTTTGCTTGTTCTATCTTCAGTACTTGCCATTGTCATCCCTCCCTGTGCTTCGCACGCACTTCCTACTCAAACTTGGTCGCCCGTGCATTCAATGCTTCTGGCATCATCCAGCTGTCCGGAGAGCTCAGCTCAGCTCACCCACCCATACATGACTACACGTGCATAAGAAACAAGAGCATGCGTAACCACTGGAACATGTGACTCAGTTTACACGGGGGTTGTCTGTACTGTACTGTACACAACGGGTTGAAAGGCAGCGGTAGGATGGGTCGTGCCAGCAAAGAGACGACTGTACTGCACACCAGCGGAACACAAACTCGCTAACCTCAAGTGCCCCACTCTCTCATGCTCCCCAGAAATGATCAGCTCAGCTGTAGCTTGTATGTATGTATGCACGTTTACCTTTTCATGGGTTCCGTAACAGCAACACAAGGCAACCACCATATCTACAGGAGAGCCAGCACAAGGCCCAGCGAGACAAGCACACGGAACCACATTACAAATCCTATCGGTGCAACTATAGAGTAGCCAGCCTTGGGCACTGTGGTGCAGTTAGCAAGGAGGATATGACCCGGGGGTGGGGAAGCACAGTCAATGAGCAACAAGCCCTCCTGCTTTTGCTTCCCACTCTCCCCCTCGCTATCTCCCCCATCTAGCAGGAAGAAGTCAGCCAGTTGGAAAGCAGTGAAGGGCACCGGCTGCCACACCACCACCTTCACCACCGCCACTTGCTTCCCTGCCCTCTCTTCAGCTGCACCCACCTCTAATGCCTTGGCTTTGGTTCCAGCCACCGTCAGCAGTGCTGCCGCTGCCGTTGCTGCAGGTGCTGCATCCACCGCTGCTGTTACAATCACGCTGTAGTTAATCCCTGCCCCCTCCACAACATTCGCCCTCGCTACAATCACATCCAGCAGAGTCACATTGGAGGGGAGGCTGCTCTGCGTATTGGAGGGGAGGCTGCTGTGGTTGTTGAGTTGGTCCAGGGCTAAGAGAGCGAGGGAGCGCATGGAGAAGCCGTTGTAGGCGTCGTTATAGGGGGCCGTGGCGGAGGCATTAGAGGAGGCATTAGAGGAGGCAGTGGAGGAGGCAGTGGAGGCAGTGGAGGAGGCACTATAGAAGGCAATGGGAGTCGTTGAATTGTCAACACTGCCGGCGGCAGGGATGAGCACCCACCCCTCATCCACACACACCCCTGCCATGGCCCGTGCCAAGTCCCACTGCAAACTGCCACTGCTGCTGCTGCTGCTGCTGCTGCTGTTAAACGCACTCCCACCAACACCACCACAAGCAGTGCTGCTGCTGCTGCTGCTGCTGACGCATTCCTCCCAACACAACCCCCTGCTGCTGCCACGCCCATCTCACCCGCTGTTGCATTCCGCTGCGTCCCCGGCACCACCGCAAACGCCGTCACATTCACCAAACTCCTCCCACTCGCATTCCCTCCTTGTGAAGTATCAGGCGTGGCGTCACTGTTGTTCGTCTGCCCCAAATCCAGTGCATGCGTGGCATAGTGGGCCACCATGCGGGTGGTATTATCTGCTGCCAGCAGTGTGAGCGTGTACTCTCTGAATCCCGGCACCATCAACTGTACCTCCAGCACCGAAATCAGCAGCAGCGTGCTACCCTGCGGGGGGGAAAGGGGTGGAGAGAGGGCAATGAAGGAAGAAGGCAGCGTTAGTGAGCATGGGTGAGAGCATGGGTGTGAGCATGGGTGTGAGCATGGGTGTGAGCATGGGTGTGAGCATGGGTGTGAGCATGGGTGTGACCATGGGTGAGAGCATGGGTGAGAGCATGGGTGTGAGCATGGGTGTGAGCATGGGTGTGAGCATGGGTGTGAGCATGGGTGTGAGCATGGGTGTGAGCATGGGTGTGAGCATGAGCAGGGTGTGAGCATGGGTGTGAGCATGGGTGTGAGCATGGGTGTGAGCATGGGTGTGAGCATGGGTGTGAGCATGGGTGTGAGCATGGGTGTGAGCATGGGTGTGAGCATGGGTGTGAGCATGGGTGTGAGCATGGGTGTGAGCATGGGTGTGAGCATGGGTGTGAGCATGGGTGTGAGCATGGGTGTGAGCATGGGTGTGAGCATGGGTGTGAGCATGGGTGTGAGCATGGGTGTGAGCATGGGTGTGAGCATGGGTGTGAGCATGGGTGTGAGCATGGGTGTGAGCATGGGTGTGAGCATGGGTGTGAGCATGGGTGTGAGCATGGGTGTGAGCATGGGTGTGAGCATGGTGTGAGCATGGTGTGAGCATGGGTGTGAGCATGGGTGTGAGCATGGGTGTGAGCATGGGTGTGAGCATGGGTGTGAGCATGGGTGTGAGCATGGGTGTGAGCATGGGTGTGAGCATGGGTGTGAGCATGGGTGTGAGCATGGGTGTGAGCATGGGTGTGAGCATGGGTGTGAGCATGGGTGTGAGCATGGGTGTGAGCATGGGTGTGAGCATGGGTGTGAGCATGGGTGTGAGCATGGGTGTGAGCATGGGTGTGAGCATGGGTGTGAGCATGGGTGTGAGCATGGGTGTGAGCATGGGTGTGAGCATGGGTGTGAGCATGGGTGTGAGCATGGGTGTGAGCATGGGTGTGAGCATGGGTGTGAGCATGGGTGTGAGCATGGGTGTGAGCATGGGTGTGAGCATGGGTGTGAGCATGGGTGTGAGCATGGGTGTGAGCATGGGTGTGAGCATGGGTGTGAGCATGGGTGTGAGCATGGGTGTGAGCATGGGTGTGAGCATGGGTGTGAGCATGGGTGTGAGCATGGGTGTGAGCATGGGTGTGAGCATGGGTGTGAGCATGGGTGTGAGCATGGGTGTGAGCATGGGTGTGAGCATGGGTGTGAGCATGGGTGTGAGCATGGGTGTGAGCATGGGTGTGAGCATGGGTGTGAGCATGGGTGTGAGCATGGGTGTGAGCATGGGTGTGAGCATGGGTGTGAGCATGGGTGTGAGCAAGGGTGTGAGCAAGGGTGTGAGCAAGGGTGTGAGCAAGGGTGTGAGCATGGGTGTGAGCATGGGTGTGAGCATGGGTGTGAGCATGGGTGTGAGCATGGGTGTGAGCATGGGTGTGAGCATGGGTGTGAGCATGGGTGTGAGCATGGGTGTGAGCATGGGTGTGAGCATGGGTGTGAGCATGGGTGTGAGCATGGGTGTGAGCATGGGTGTGAGCATGGGTGTGAGCATGGGTGTGAGCATGGGTGTGAGCATGGGTGTGAGCATGGGTGTGAGCATGGGTGTGAGCATGGGTGTGAGCATGGGTGTGAGCATGGGTGTGAGCATGGGTGTGAGCATGGGTGTGAGCATGGGTGTGAGCATGGGTGTGAGCATGGGTGTGAGCATGGGTGTGAGCATGGGTGTGAGCATGGGTGTGAGCATGGGTGTGAGCATGGGTGTGAGCATGGGTGTGAGCATGGGTGTGAGCATGGGTGTGAGCAAGGGTGTGAGCATGGGTGTGAGCATGGGTGTGAGCATGGGTGTGAGCATGGGTGTGAGCATGGGTGTGAGCATGGGTGTGAGCATGGGTGTGAGCATGGGTGTGAGCATGGGTGTGAGCATGGGTGTGAGCATGGGTGTGAGCATGGGTGTGAGCATGGGTGTGAGCATGGGTGTGAGCATGGGTGTGAGCATGGGTGTGAGCATGGGTGTGAGCATGGGTGTGAGCATGGGTGTGAGCATGGGTGTGAGCATGGGTGTGAGCATGGGTGTGAGCATGGGTGTGAGCATGGGTGTGAGCATGGGTGTGAGCATGGGTGTGAGCATGGGTGTGAGCATGGGTGTGAGCATGGGTGTGAGCATGGGTGTGAGCATGGGTGTGAGCATGGGTGTGAGCAAGGGTGTGAGCATGGGTGTGAGCATGGGTGTGAGCATGGGTGTGAGCATGGGTGTGAGCATGGGTGTGAGCAAGGGTGTGAGCATGGGTGTGAGCATGGGTGTGAGCATGGGTGTGAGCATGGGTGTGAGCATGGGTGTGAGCATGGGTGTGAGCATGGGTGTGAGCATGGGTGTGAGCATGGGTGTGAGCATGGGTGTGAGCATGGGTGTGAGCATGGGTGTGAGCATGGGTGTGAGCATGGGTGTGAGCATGGGTGTGAGCATGGGTGTGAGCATGGGTGTGAGCATGGGTGTGAGCATGGGTGTGAGCATGGGTGTGAGCATGGGTGTGAGCATGGGTGTGAGCATGGGTGTGAGCATGGGTGTGAGCATGGGTGTGAGCATGGGTGTGAGCATGGGTGTGAGCATGGGTGTGAGCATGGGTGTGAGCATGGGTGTGAGCATGGGTGTGAGCATGGGTGTGAGCATGGGTGTGAGCATGGGTGTGAGCATGGGTGTGAGCATGGGTGTGAGCATGGGTGTGAGCATGGGTGTGAGCATGGGTGTGAGCATGGGTGTGAGCATGGGTGTGAGCATGGGTGTGAGCATGGGTGTGAGCATGGGTGTGAGCATGGGTGTGAGCATGGGTGTGAGCATGGGTGTGAGCATGGGTGTGAGCATGGGTGTGAGCATGGGTGTGAGCATGGGTGTGAGTGAAAAGAATGAAGTGCAAATTGGATCCTGTGAAGGACGGAATTCATCCCGTCCCATCACTCACCTGTCTCTTATTCGCACTCGTCACCGCCTCTCGTGCCACCCGCTGCACGTCCACGTCTGACGGGTCAACGTAAGTCAACAGGTCGCCACACAGAGGAGGGTCCACCGGTACCACGTGCCTGAGCGCCGCCTCCTGCTCCTCCCGCGTGCTCGCATGCCCCGACCCTGCCTGCACCGCGAACGACTTCAACGTGTACTCCCATCCCTCCCCTCCTCCATTTTCAGCTGCTGCTGTTGCTGCTAATGGAAGGGCAGCAGCAGGGAGCGCGGATTGCGCGGCCACGAGAGGGCGGCGGGAGAAGAGGGCGTCGAATAAGGCAGTGCGGCCGCGCAGCAGGCTGAGAGCCGCCAGTGACACGCGGTACTCCTGCCCGCCCGTGCTTGAGTTGCCTGCGCTGCCATTGCCTGTGCCGCCATTATCCACATACTCTACAGACATAATCCGGACTGGTTGTAAGCTGTCGTTCTGGCGTGGGGGGCGGGAGGAGGGGGGAGGAAAGGAGGGGGGGGGAAAGGAGGGGGGGAGGAAAGGAGGGGGGGAGGAAAGGAGGGGGGGAGGGAGGAGGGAAGAGAAAGAGGAGAGAAGGGAGCGAGAACGGGGAGAAGGGGAATGGGGAGAAGGGCAAAGGGAGCAGCTGTGTTGCTGTGGTGCAAGCAGGGGACTCTTTAAAGGTGCAACGCTCAGCCAGCTCAAGTTCAGGAGTGCTGCTCTTCAAACAAGGAGAGTCCCCTGCCGCCTGTCGCCTGACGCCTGACGCCTGTCGCCTGTCGCCTGTCGCCTGTCGCCTGTCGCCTGTCGCCTGTCGCCTGACGCCTGTCGCCTGTCGCCTGTCGCCTGTCGCCTGTCGCCTGTCGCCTGTCGCCTGTCGCCTGTCGCCTGCCTCGCCGTGGCCTCGTTCTGCGGGTCGCAGTGAGACAGCTGGAGTTGAAGAGTGAGATGCAACACGTGTTTTTGAGTCGACTCAAAACCGCATGTGACGAAACTGTTTTTGAGTCGACTCAAAAACAGACTCATCACATGCGGTGAGACAGCTGGAGTTGAAGAGTGAGACGCAACACTTCGATTGAGAGCGAATCGCGCCAACCTCACCTTGGCGGCGTTGTGCTGTGCCACGGCGAAGCGCGCCATGGCGATTTGCTCCTCATCAGCTAGCCAGTGAAAGTCGGGCTCCCAATCAGGGTTCGGAGGGGAGCCGTCTGCTGCTGCCGAGTACATAGGCGGAAGACACGCTCGACACGTGGATGCCACGTGGGAGAGGAAAAGGAGCCACAGCGGAAAATTCAGGCACCGCCGCATGGCAACGCGACGGCTCGTCATGATCGCCGTATTTTCTTGAATGAATCAGAAGCGAGCAACCTCTCAGTTCGCGTAAATGATAAGCGTCAGCTCTGGAACGGGGCCCGCCGCGTTTACCGGAATATACACCGGGTGTTTTTGCTCTTGCAACAGGATTTTGCGACTGGCAAGTTGAAGCGTCTGGTTCCGCAAGGTTGAATATTTCAACCCTCTCTTGAAAAATGAAAAGCTTGTGAGTCGAGCGGCACATGGGAGAGTCTGAACGCATCTCGCTGAAGTTCGTAACCTAATATGACGGTCCTGTCCCCGTTGCCTCAAGAGGCATGGCGGGAGGGCGACGGCGTTCGCAGCGCAAGCCATTGCAGAGTCAGCAGAGGATGTGAGAAGAAGAGGAGGGAGGGAGATGAGGTTGAACGGATTTGACAACGACGACCACGCAGCGCACGTGGCGGAGGCAGGAAAAGGAGTCCTTTCTCCTCGGCTGGGTCGCTCTTGTCCCGAGGAGACTTGTGGGACTGTTGACAAACTCGAGGGGAAAAGGTGTGCAACATCGTGCGAGTTACATATTTCGCGGAGTGTCGCGCAGCTCTGCTGTGGGCAGGGGGAGCTAGGGTTTCGCTGCCAGCGAATGATGGAACTGGCGCGGGACTTGGGAAGAATTCGGATAAATGACACGGGGGTTTATCCGCTCCCTTCTGTAATGAATGTACATTCATCACTATAGAGGCTGCTCCCAGCGAGGACGGCCCCTAGCACTTCGCGTCAGTGTGGCTCGGCCTACACTTTCGTACCGAACCAATGCCGAGTTGCCCATCACCAATCGCGACATTTCCGAGCCACGCACGTCACGCGGTTCTCGCCTAGCACGTATTCGCCCTATATTTGCTCGCTTTCTTCATTGTTTCCTCATTCGGTAATTACGTTCTCTTTATCAAAGTCTTCCGCGCTGTAAGGAAATTTCCATTTTCCTTACGCCGCATCCCTGCTTAGCGCGTACATCACCGAACCCACCTCAGTCGACACCATTACCACTCGCGACAGTCGCCCCGACTCATTTCCCACCTCATCGCCCGTCGCATCCCAACACTACGGCTCGGTCGGTAACCCGCGCTACGAGCCTCCACCTCGACAATCCCCAACCACAGTCGCGACCTCAGTCCCAGGCACGTCGCGCACCTCCCACAGTTCGTTACCGTTACCACTAGGACTTTTGCTATTTAATCATCGCTCATGCCTTCGCTCAATGTACTGTTTTGCTTCGATAGTGCAATTCTCGCTCGCTCGCTCAATTGCACTCGTAACACTTGGTATTCAGAGCCTACGACCTCCTCCCGGACCGCATCCACATCTTCGCTTCCCCACTATCTCAATTTTTGGGGGGGGGGGGGGGGGGGGGGGGGGGTAGACGTCTCTCAACGAGCCAGCACAGTCGCTCGAAGTGCTCTGTCGCAAGCACGCACGACCACCATAGAGGCTCTCGCTGAGCTTGCCCGACACCCCCGCCATGGCTTAATTCACACTCGCGACATTGACGCAGGAGCAGCTCGACCGCCTCGTGAGCCAACTCGAAAATTCGGCGCTCGAAGCTGCGACGCTCACGGTGGAACTCGATGCCGCTCGCCGGCAATCCGCGACCAACGCACCTGCACCAACTCCAACAGATGCACATGTACAAACGGACGAACCAATCAAGATATCATCCGGAAAGCCGTCGCAACACGACAGCGTGGGACAGCGCTCAGGCGCAGCCAGTGATGGCGCCGCCGAATCGATGCCGGGCATGGAGAGTAATCGGGCCGGCCCAATCACACCAGGGCCTCACGAAAACCGTCGGCACATAATGTTTGAAGCAACAAGCAGCAACAACGAAGTTGCAACACCAATGCTACTCAAACCCCAGCTGTGAAAATGAGAACGAGGAATGAGTGCATTGAGCAGCATGAGGAGTACAAGTACCAAACCCTAAAATGTTGTACCCCATGTAAGCTACCCCACTACAGCCTACACAGACTATAGTATATGAGTTTGACACACCCCCATAGGCAAAGTGGGGGAGAACAAGGGGTCACAAGACCAGTCAAGCAAAGCAAGGCAAAGCAAGCTCAGGGTGGATCACAACGTCACCACACAGTCTGAGCACAAGTTCAAGGCCACAAGGCCAGTTCACATGCAAGATTACATATATATAACGCTAAACAAGCAAGAGCAGGTATATATATGTAACAGTACAAGCAAGGTCAAGAAGTGAGCAAGTGAGGCAAGGTAGGCACAAGACCTAACAGAGTACAGAAGCGCTGATGATCACAAGGCGCGAGTGCCTTAGTGAAGATATCAGCAGTGTTGGCCTGAGAGGCCACGTAAGCAAGGCGCAGCTGACCACGCTGCTGCAGCTCACGAGCAAGGAAGTAGCGAAGAGCGATGTGCTTCGTTCTGTGCTCCAGTCTGTGCTCCCGACACAAGGCCAGCATGGCCTTGTTGTCTACGTACAGTACTGGAGGAGAACGAGGCGGCTCTCCCAGGTCAGTCAGCAGGTAGGTGAGCCAGCGTAGCTCCTGTGCAGCCATGGCCCCTGCGTAGATCTCAGCCTCACAACTGGAGCCGAGAACAGAAGACGAGCGGGTAGACCGCCACGAAACAGAGCCGGAACCAAGGCTGAAGGTGTAACCCTGTGACGACCGCTGCGTAGCCTGGTCGTCAGCCCAAGAAGCGTCTGCGTGACCAGTGAGGACCACTGGACTCTGCCCTCCAAGCACAAGCCCCATGCCCGACGTACTGCACAAGTAGCGCAACACCCTCTTCGCTGCAGCCATGTGCTCTGGTCTGTGTCTCCCAGGAGCAACATAGCGTGCCAGAATGCTAAGAGGGTATGCAAGGTCAGGTCGAGTGCAGGTCATCAGGTACATGAGGCAGCCAACAAGCTCTGGGTACGGGCCACTCGACTCTACGGACTCATCCGAAGGCAGAGCTGAGAGCGAGTGGCGTGTAGCCAGAGGAGTGGCCTGAGGCAAGGAGTACGTGAAGCCGAAGCGCTGAAGGACCTGCTGCACCATGTGTGACTGAGTCAGGGTAATGGTGCGCTGTGCTCTGTCCCGGGTGATCTGCAAGCCAAGGTAGATGCGCAGTTCACCCAGGTCTGTGCACGTGTGTCTCTTCTGCAGCTCGGACTTCACGTAGGCAAGTCCAGCAGTGTCAGCTGTAGCAAAGACCAAGTCGTCGACGTACACGAGGATGTTGAACGGCGGCAAAGAAGAGTCGGTGCGCAGAAACAGCGACGGGTCGGCAGTAGAAGGAGCAAACCCAAGAGCCGCAAGTGTAGTCCTCAGTGTGTCGTGCCACTCACGAGGTGCCTGGCGGAGACCGTAGACTGGCCGCCGGAGGCTCCACTGGGTGCCAGGAGGAAAAGTCCCAGTGAAGCCAGGTGGGCGGCGCAGCCAGATCTCCTCGTGCAGGCTGCCCTGCAAGAAAGCAGTACTGAAGTCAAGAGAGTGCAGCTCGTAGTCTCGGTGAGCGGCTATGTGCAGCAGTACCCGAAGAGTGGTCATCTTCGGGGTGGGAGAGAAGGTCTGAAAGTAGTCAACTCCCTGCCGCTGACTGAAGCCACGAGCCACGTAACGCGCCTTGAAGACAGGCGGAGAACCCGGCGGCCGCTTCACCCTGAAAATCCACATGCCACTGACGATGTTCGCCCCAGGTGGGGAAACCTCGTCGACGTAGGTGCCTGTGGACTTCCAGGAAGCCATCTCTGCGTCCATGGCTGCCTGCCACTGAGAGGAGTAGGGACCCTCTATCGCCTCCGCGTAAGAGCGCGGAGTCGGGATGTCAAGTGCATCCGGGTCTCCCTCAGGGGCAAGCAGCATGGACACGAGATGAGGTGAAGCAGCAGCCAAGCACTGGAACTCCTCCTGCCTGTCCTCAAGGACGTCCGTGCCAAGAGCACACTCACCCCCGACGGACGGAGGACAGACAGACTCAGACTCAGCGACGAGACTGGCAGCGTAGTCTAGGCGACAGCGAGCAGCGAAGTCGACAAGCTCAGCGACCAGGGCAGACACAGCAGTAGACTCAAAGGAAGGGTCAGTGACGACAGTAGCAAGGAGACGCGTGACAGTAGGACGCGCAGCACGAAGGGAGTCCGACTCAGGGTCAGGAAGGTCAGGAAGAGAGGACTCGGGAGGAGAAGGCAAAGGGGCACGCAGCGGAGCAGTGGAAGGACGCAGAGACATCCGGTGCGTGCCGGGGACAGGGGGAGGACGCTGACGCGAACCACGACCACTAGTGCGAGCAGTACGGACAGGCGACGCAGGGCGAGACGCAGGCTCACGACGCTCAGCAAGACCTCCAGTAGGACCAGTGTAGGGAGAAGGAGAAGGAAGCGGGGAGGCCGGCTGTAACTGTGACTCAGACTGGACAGGAGGCGGACACGCTAAGGGAGGAGCAGGACCAAGAGAGGACGGAAGACCAAGAACCTGCTCAAGGAGCGGAACGAAGTACGGCCGGGGCCGCGCAGCGCCACCAGTGCCAGCAGGAACAGCACCAGCACCCCCAACGGCAGCACCAGCACCAGGAGTACCCCCAGCTCCAGCAGCGCCAACTCCAGCACCCTCAGAAGCACCAGCGCCAGTAGCACCTCCAGTGCCAACACCCCCAGTAGCTCCAGCTCCAGTCGTACCACTTGAAGACGCAGCAGCGTCAGATCCAGGAGCACCAGCAGCACCAACGCCAGGAGCACCACCAGCTCTAGCAGGACGAGCACCCGTAGGCCCAGCAGCTCCAGTACACCCTGTACGAGCACCTCTGGGACCCTCTGCACCAGCACCCTCAGCAGCAGCAGAACCTCCAGCGTCCGTAGCACCGCCAGCTCCAGCAGCACGCCTCCAGCGCCGGGCAAACCACTCACGCAGCTCCTGTGGAGAGAGTAG